TCTCACAGTCAGTGGTGAGGGGGCAAATGAACTCCAGGAGGATGGACAAGAAGCTGCCTCCCTGTGCTACAGACTCTTTTTTTTTAAAAAAAAGATTGTTTTACTTTATTTATTTATTTATTTATTTTCATTTGACCAGAGGGGATGAAGGGAGAGAGAGAGAGACAGAGAGAGAGAGAGAGAAATTGAGAAAGCAAGCCACTAGACTAGGTCTGGGATTCAAACCACAGTTGTCCATGTGGGAGTTCAGTGCCCTTAACCACCATGCCACCTGCCGGCCCCACTATAGACTCTTGAAAGTTGTGACTCTCTTATTCAGGTCTTATCTTCTTTGAGCTCAAATGGGTGTAAATGGTGAGATTGGATGACACTGCAACAGACTAGACAGTCTTTCTTGCCCTCCTGCCTGACCTCAGTGAGACAGCAGAGGCTACGGTACTCTCACCTGGCCCCAATCCAGCCTTGACCATACATTTATATCCCCTCCCATCCATCACCAAAGGACTGCAGTTCTGGGACAAGAATGGATAAGCTACAGATCATCACAGAGTGCTTTGTTTCTTCTTTCTTTGGGATATTTTTTCCATAGGGCACTTGTGCTTGCTGGAGAGACACAGAGAGACAGAGAGACAGAAAGCAAGAAATCACAACCTGGGTGTATGGTCATGGCTTAATCCCTTCTCCTCCATTCTCCTCTCTGGATTTGGGTCATTCACACACACGTGCCCGGCACTAGTTTCAAGCTGCCAGGTCAGGGACTCAAACTGCAATTAACCACATGGGAGTCTAGCGCCTTACCCACTAAGCCACCTGCTGGCCCCCATAGAACATTCTTTTTCTTCTCCTTAGAAAGACTATGACTGTCTATGGATGATGAGTGGCTCCTTCTACAATCCAACCCACATCTGGGCCTCAAGAAATATGAATATGGTCATGCTAACTGGGGTTATCTAGTACTGCATAGAGAAGGGCATCCTAGAAATCTCAAACCAAGTGTTACTTTGAGGCTCAACTTGTAGTAGAAAAGTCAGTTACTAAGATTCAGAAAGTTTAAAACATACAGTGCTGGTAGCAGTGACATACAAAATCATCTACAGAAGCTGACCTGCATCTTAGAAACTGCAGCCTTCTCCAAATATTCTCTCCTTACTTTCCATTCAGCCAGGGCATACCAACTGTTCTTTATAGGGCATACATTAAACCAAACATAACCTCTGTGCATTTTTACACTCATTCCAAAAGGGACGTAAGGAAGTTAGAATAAAAGGACTAGTAAAAAAATTATTGTGTGCATGTATATATAGCAGAAGTCTTTATTCAAATGAAGTTTTAAGAAGAAGAGCAATAAATAAAATAACAAAAGCAGAACTGCTCAGTGAGCTCAGGCGTGGGACTCAAAGACTGTTCACTTTCTTTCCTCTTTCAATGACTTCTTACCCCGCTTTGTCCAGTTCTAAAAATAGAAAACCACTTCCAGGACTAGTTCTATAGTCTGGTTGTTGGAGCAGGATTCCACATGGCCAACTGTGGTTTGAATCCTGACCTTAAAGGTTTGAAAAAACATTCCTGGCATGTGTGTGTGTGTGTCCAAAATCCTGACAGGATGGAGAAATGAGAAGGTATTGTGGCATGACCTTTCCCCATGGGGGAAGGCGGTGTTTTGTCCCTCTCTGTCTCTCTCTGGTGAATGCCCATGCTCTTTGGTAATTAAAGAAAAAAAAAAAAAAAGACAAGCAAGAAAAAAGAAGAAAGGAAGAGAGAAAGAAAGAAAATAAACCACAGGTCCAGGTGGTCTGACTTCTGGGTTTCTTGCAAGTGTTGAGATTTATTTTCACTTGTGGGACCAGAGATGTAGCTCCTTTGATCCTAAAGCCCTCACTGAATTGGACAGATACTCCCAGATTTCTTGTTCCATTCTCATGCCTCAGTGAAAATAGGAAGCAAGTTCTATACCCAACATCTCTTTTTTCCTATTTGGGTTGCTGAGGATCACAGGTTCCTACAGAAGGAATCAGAACCAACAGGTTTGCTGGCCGCAGAATCCTGAGGCTTTGTTACCAGATCCAAGGCAGTGACCTTGTAGAGAGCTCTGAGCTCGAGGGGGATGCTTTTGATTGCATGTGTTGTGATATACTATACTCTCCCTCTACTACATAAAACAACATTGTGACCCTAGAAAAAGTTGTGATCTATACAAAAAGAGTTTCTCATATGCCCCTGGGCAAGAAGAGAAGCCACTGAGAAGGTAGCCAGTGTGGTATGGAGAGAGAGGCCTGGGTTCAGAAACAGAAATGTTGGATTCTAGCCTCTGTTCTATAGTTTTCTGGGGAAAGTGCACCCAGTTCCCTAGATCACTTCCCTGTCTGTGAAAGAATAAAGACTAGGTAATCCATATACTTCTCTGGGCCTTAAAAATTCTGAGCACTTATCGCTTTATAATATGAAAAAATGAATTGCTTCTAATTTTGACTAGGATTTGGTATGGAAGGTGAAACCTAGAAGAGTTGTAAGAGCCAACTGAGTTCTTCCTGTGGGCCATGCGGTGCACTGTGCATGTTCTCACTATTGGCAATGTGAGAGTGGCATGACATTTCCTCCTCTGCAGATATGAAAGGCTAAGGTTAACCATGTAAGTTAGTTAGGCAACTTACCTAAAGCAGAGTTTGAACTCAAAGTTTGCCCATGATGCAAAAAACCACTTTCTTATCCAGCCATCCAGCTTCCTCCAAGCTATCTAACATTGACACCTGCTGCAGATAAGCCACCCACAAAGTATTAAAGGCTGACAACTTTTACTTTCACTGGGAGTACCCTCAGAGGATCTCAATAATATTCTAGTTTTAGGTTAGCTCCATGGTTCAGAGGTAATGCCCTATTCAAGAGAAACCAGATCCCACGTGGTAACTGCAGGTCAAATCTCCAGCCTGGTCAGCCTAAAACACACTGGGCAGGTGCATGGGTACCCAGGATCCAGTAGGCTGGAGGACTGGAGAAATGGGATTGTGGTGTGACAAGAGTCTGAGGAAGATGCTCCTCTCTCTCTCTCTCTCATCACGTGCATACACATATACTTTATCATGAGTAAAGAAAAAAATATTAAAAACAAATGAATTAATTAATACATTAAAATAAAAATTATTTAAATTTTATGAGGCCAACAGGTGGCATGGTAGATAAAGTGTCTGACTCCCACATGGCAGACTGTGGTTCAAGTTCTGGACACAGTGACATGAAAATCATACCGAGCGAGTGTGCACGCATGCCCCAAATCTCAAGAGAATAGAGGAGAAAGGATTGCAGCATGGCCACCTGCCCCCACAGGGAGGAGGTCTTAGTTCTGGTTTTCCCTTTCACCCTCTCTGTTGAGTGCACATGCCCAATGGCAAAAGCCTCTTAAAAATAAAAAAAACCAGCAAAACATTATTTACATTTTAAATTATTCTCTTAGTTTTTTTATGATTTTTTCAAAGTTTATTATGGTTCATTTTTATTATAATTTTTTAAAATTTTTTGTCTTTAATTAATTAATTTACATTCATTCACTGAGAAACAGAAAAAGGGCAATTCTCTCTTTATAAAGCAATAAAGTGAAGCCTGAGAAGTTTTCACTCAATTAGTCTGTTGTATGTGTTGTATCCCAGCCAGAATTTGAGTAACCACATAAAAGGTAAACATAATCTCTTTGCTTAACTTAGAAAAAGAGAAAAGTTTAGATAAGCGATAATCCTGTTCAGCACTTAATTTATAAGAGCCAGATAAGGAGACTGGCAGTATCTGAGTATGCAATGCTGACCACAACTTTTCTACCCTGAAGTCAATTTCTACTCTTTAGAATTGCAGAGAACTGAGAGCAACACACCCACCACACCCTGCATTCTAACCACTGAGAGCATGTGCCGGCAGGAAGGGGGGTAAGAAATCTGCTGGGAGGAGACGGTACTCAAAAAACATGAATTTCTAACTTCCAACGGACAAGATGGGGTTCTGGGGAAACTGTGTAGTCCTTCACCTAGTCCCATTTCCCCAAATTGTCATCCTGTCTTTTCTAAAGTCCTAGAACATAGAGGATTAGAAAATGCTTTTCCTAGACCAAATCTATTCCAGAGTAAGGGATTATAGCTCTGTATTCTTGATGGACATCTTATAATAATAATACTTTTTGTAACATAGACAAAATATAATTATTATAAGATTATTATTTTAAGTATATTTATTTTTTAGAACACTTTTACGTTCACAACAACATTAAGCAGAAAGTACACATAATTCCCACATATCCTCTGCCTCTATACAGACACAGTTATCTAGATTGGTAAGTTTCAACTTATTCGAATAAAGACCAATGAGCATGATTGCTGAATCATATTATAAAAACATGTTTAATTTTGTGAGAAACTGCCAAGTTGCCTTCCACAGTGGCTGTATCATTTTGTATCACCACCAATAATGAGTGAGAATTCCTATTGTTCTATACCCTCACCATCATTTGGCAGTGTGAGTGTTTTGAATCTTGACTATTTTAATAGGTGTGTAATGGTCATATTCTTTTTAATTTTGGATCACAAGTGTACTATATTTACAAATGTAGTTTAACATTTGCTATTTGATTAATGTTTTACTTCCCCCCCTTAGGCTGCAGTACAAACAAGAGCCGCCTTTTTTTTCCCATCATTTTATTACATATCAGCATCGTGTCTTGGACATAGTAGACCCTTGCTGAATATTTAAATAAATGAGTGAATAGACTTACCAGTCCATTTGGGATATTGGCTTTTACACAAGAATACAAGTCTACTAGAGATGACAGAGCTTAGACCATATCCTGAGACACCACTTTAGCAGGAGCCATCAGAACTCAGTAGAGACCATAGCCATTTTCAAAGGCACCTGATCATGTGTCTTAAGCAGTTCTTGGCTTAGATAGTTTCCTTTTATGCAAAATTCAAATGACTCAAGCAAGCTTACTGACCTTTGACAAATAATAGCTCTTCTTTCTTGCATCATCTGAGAAAACCTGACTTCTTACTCAAGCACTTCTTCAAAGCTTTGTGGATGTCTTTATTTCTCAGGCTATAAATGATGGGGTTAAACATGGGTGTCAGGATGGTGTAGAGCAGAGAGAATCCTTTATGCAAGAGTTGGGAAGAGTTGGCTGAGGGCACGAGGTATGTAGCAATCAGTGTCCCATAAAACACTGCGACCACAGTAAGGTGGGAGGAGCAAGTAGAGAAGGCTTTTCTCTGGCCTGTGCCAGATGGGATTTTTAGGATAGCTGTGAGGATGCAGAAGTAGGAGGCTGTGATGAGGAGAAATGGGACCAGAGTCACTGCAGAAGAGGTGACAAAAGCAATGGTCTCAGTCAAAGAGGTGTCCATGCAAGAGAGATGAACCAGGGGGGCAAAGTCACAAAAGAAGTGATCAATTTCATTAGCTCCACAGAAGGTGAGTCTACACAGCAGAATCACGGTGATTGCTGTGAGGAGGAAGCAGCAGAGCCAAGAGCTGGCAGCCAGCCTGACACAGAAGGAGCCAGTCATGAGGATGGGGTATTGAAGAGGTTGGCAGATGGCCAAGTAACGGTCATAGGACATTACAGCAAGTAAGAGGCACTCTGTTGCAGCCAGAGATCCAAACAAGTAAAACTGTGCCAAGCAGCCAGCCACAGAGATAGTCTTCTGTTCAGCTATGATAATCAGCAACATCCTGGGGATGATGTTAGAAGTATACCAGATCTCCAGAACAGACAAGTTCACCAGAAAGAAGTACATGGGGGTATGGAGGTGATGGTTGAACAAAACTAGGAGGATAACCAGGACGTTTCCAGAAACAGTTAAGATGTAGAAAACTAAAAATGTCATAAAGAGGAAAATATTTAACTGTCGGATGGAAGAAAATCCTTGAAGAACAAATTCCACTATCACTGTTTGGTTTTCCCAGTATGAGATCACCATGCTCAGCTTCCCTAGAGGCAGAACACCCAGTGATAAAACATTGCAAATGCAGAAAGTTCTAACTTACACAAAGAATAGATAGTGAATGATTTTTATTACCCATTCATGATTTTGGAAGGTTTTTCATTTGAATGGAGAAAGATCTTGGTTGTTATTTGTTTGTTTTTCAAGGCCTAAAATGAGAAAGAAAATAATTTTGAATGAGAACCTATGACCAATCCCTGCTTCTCCTACCTTGGATCTTCACAACATTAAGAGTAATGTCATTCTATGTTTGGGTTCATTTTTCTACGCATAATCCAAAGAATCATAAATCATGCCAAAGCCAATTGTCTTGCCACCACCAAAATGGGTTCTGAACCTAAACATGAAGATGACACATGTGCTTGCCAGAAAGACAGAGAGAGATGAAGAGAGAAAAAGCAAGAAATCACCACGTCCTGGGGGTTGGCCACACCACAATCCCTTCTCTTCCATCCTCTTCTCAGGATCTTGGGTATGCATGCACACATTTAAAATATAAAATATATATATATATGGACCAGCAGTTAGCATAATGGCTATGTCACTGGACTCCCATGTAGTCGACCATGGTTCGCGTCCCAGACCCGGTGGCTTAAAACTCATGCCGAGCGCATGTGCGTGTTTGCCCAAGATCCCAAGAGGAGAATGAAGGAGAAGGGATTGCAGAGTGGCCATCCCCCCTGGGTGGTGATTTCTCGCTTTCCGTTTCTCTGTCTCTCTCTGTATGTCTGGCGAGCGCACGCGCCCTGTAGCAAAAACCTCTCCAAAAAGTGAAAAAAAAATTAATTAAAAAATTCCCCGTTAATCAGTACTTAGACTTTTTTTTTTTGAAAGAGGAATATAATGGGAAAGGAGGACAAAGAAACAAAGGGAGAACCTATTACATGCCCTTCCCGAGTGTACGTGGTGATCTGGGAAGGAAGAAGATCTAAAGGGCAAGTGGGATAGAGAGGATGAAGAGCACATTCCAGATGGTTTGTGTACCGTCTGACAGTCAAGGATTCGCAACAAAAAGCTCCCTCCCCTCCTCTCTCAAGTATTGTTAATCTTTAGGAAAATGAACCCTATCTTATCAATCATGTATTCTCCTTTAGTGTCTTAGTAAGTTGGGAGGGAAGTTTCATATTTCTGTTTTGGTTTCGATGACACTATCAAGAGAAAATCACGTGAGTATGACGTTTGAGATTCTTTGATTCTGAGGTCAGTACCATGCTGGTGTAACCCAGGGGCAAGAATGCTTTCTCTCAAAATGTAAATAGACAAAATCAGACCATTAAAAAGATTTTATCCAGATCAGCAGTTGGCATAATAGCTATGTGGCTGGACTCCCATGTGGTTGACCGTGGTTCAAGTCCCGGACCCGGTGGCTTAAACTCATGCTAGGCATGTGTGCATATGTGCCCAAGATCCCGAGAGGAGAATGGGGGAAAGGGATTGCACTGTGGCCATCCCCCGTCGGGGGTGATTTCTCGCTTTCTGTTTCTCTTTGTCTCTCTGGAGAGTGCACACACCCAATAACAAAAAACTCTCATAAAAAAAAAAAAAAAGATTTTATCCAAGGCTTCAGTAAAACGGGAAAGAAGATTCAGAACCAAGTAGCATAAGGCACTGTGTGCAATCAGCCACTGGGTGTAGCCTTGGGTTTGTCTGAGTGAGGTAAGGAAGCCAAATAAATTGTATCTTGGTTAAAGTCACTCGTCTTACCAAGGCAGCCAGAAACTTTGCCTCTGCACACACTGCTGTGGCCACAGGCAGGCTCTGAGGTTGAGCCTACTTTACTGTTCCCAACCACCTGGTACAGATTTCCTCCTCCCTAAGATAGTTACAAAGGGAGCCTGTGGCTGCAGGTAAGCAAATGGAGATGGGAAAACCCACATGCTGGCACAGAAAGCTGTGTGGGTGAGTGTGATAATGAGGCAGTGCCCCAGTCGCCAGAGAGCTCTAAACACACAAAGCCACTGGCTCTGCTTTATGAGTCAGGCTTTGAAAAAGTTGTTTAACTGCTCTGAAACATAGTTTGTCATGTGTAAACTACACGACAGGGATGGAGAAGAACTTGACATGTGCCTAGAGCATGCAGAAAACATATGAATGAAGAGACTGGGAAATCACTGACAAGTCAGGGCTGCATACGTAAGTTTACCAAGTCGTTGCTCTTACTTTGAAAGGGGCATTGGCAGCAGTTCCCATCGTCTTTGTAGTACTCTGCACCGTGTGTGTGATTGTGTGATTAAGCCATTCTTGTTATCTCTTATCATACCAATAGCCTTTTGGAAGTAGAGAATCTCATTTTAAAATTGATCCAGTGTCTAGGGGACCAGCAGATGGCATGGTTGAACTCCCACATAGTTGACCACGGTTCCAGTCCCAGACCTGGCGACTTAAAACTCACACTGGGTGCCTGTGTGAGCGTGCCCAAAATCTTGAGAGGATAATGAAGAAGCAAGGATTGAGGTGTGGTCATCCCCCCTTCAGGAGGGGGGTTGATTTCTCAGTTTTTGTCTCTCTGTTTTTCTCTGTCTCTCTGACGAGTGCACGTGCCCTAGAACAAAAATATCACTGGAAAAAAAATTAAATTAATCCAGTGTCTTAGGGCTATTCTGTAGAGCACGTGTTCCAGATTTTCAAGCAGCTCATGGGATTCACCCAGGGTCTGCGCTGCCTGGCAGTCCGGGTGCCCAGAGGATGACCAGCAGCTGCTGAGTCAGACCCTAAGCTCATTAAGTGGAGCATGGGGAAGGCACACAGGCAGGACTTTCCTCCATTTCTTGTGAAACACAAATAATGACTTGGAATCTCACAGAGGACTTAAGCTCGGCAGAACACAGCCAGACTCCTGGATGCTGCTGTTGCTATCTCAATAACTTCTTTTTTTATTTTTTAATTTTTCAATATATTTTATTTTAATTAATTTATTTATTTTAACTGTTTTCCTTTATTGTTATTATTTATATATTCAACCACTATACATCATTTAGAATGTAAAGAGACTTGACCCAGCATGATATACATCTCAGTCAAGAACACTATACACATCCTCATAAACAGATAACAAATTATACATCACTTATCTTGTAATGTGAATTTTCCAACATGAATAGTGAAAAATATATAAACTCACTAAACATCACTGCAATACCATGTGGTAATACTCTTTTTCACTTTACCTATTGGGGCACACTTTATATAAAACAGAGAGGTTAAATGAATTGCCCTTGGTCACCAGCTAGGAAGTGGCAGAGATGAGATTCAGGCTTGCTTTGGATCCCTTATGTCTAACCACTAAGCTACCTCTCACCAGGCCTGCATACAGAGGTTAGTTCGCATTACGTGAAGAGAAAATGTTCCACAAGGCAGCTTTTCATTCCAGTTTAAACTTCAGGATAAGCGAGACCCATTTGGTTGGTTGGCGAGGGTGCAATCTCGTGAAGAGTCACACTCTTTGACAGCCATCTTCACTTCTTTTTTTTTTTTTTTAAGAGGTTTTTGCTATAGGGCGCGTGCACTCGCCAGACAGACAGAGAGAGACAGAGAGACAGAAAGCGAGAAATCATTCCCCAGAGGGAATGGCCACACCGCAATCCCTTCTCCTTCATTCTCCTCTCAGGATCTTGGGCATGCACGCACACGCGCCCAGCGTGAGTTTTAAGCCACCTGGTCCGGGACGCGAACCGCGGTCGACTACGTGGGAGTCCAGCGACATAGCCATTACGCTAACTGCTGGTCCCTTCACTTCTGATCTTGTTTTAACATTGCTATTTTTCTATCCTTCCATTATAATCTTTTAAAGAATTCCACAAATATATTAACTAAAAATATGTATATAAGAACCTTTTTTGAGAGCGTTCTGAGAGAATTATCTCTTGCCCTCTTCCAGGCAGTTGCATTTCTGCTACGGAGTTGCTTCACTGCCTAGATGTGGTGCAGAGACCCATGATGAAAAATGGAAAGCCGGGTGAAAGGTAGGAGAGAATGGAAAGACAGTGAAGCCTGGTTGAGAGCACATACTCTAAAACGAAACAGGCTGGGCCCAAATCCCTGCTCAAGCACAAAGATACGTGGTTAAGGGAAAGTTTGATAACCTTCAAGGGCAGAGTAATTCTGCTGTCCCCGGGTCTGTGCAGAGGAGGCTCTCTGGGGCAGCAGAGAGGTTGGCGATACTCATCTCTCCTCCCCAGCATGCAACCACTAGCTCTTTCCCCAATTTCCTCAGCAGAAGAATCACAGGAGGGCATTATTGAAATTGTAGAAGTCTGAACTCTGTTAGTGTGCTCCCATATTCTCTGCTCACATATATTGTTTCACTCCAGAGTCACGAGCTCAACAAATTGCACAAAATGTCTGGAAATCATGCTGAGACAGGGCTGAGCCCCAAGAAAGTCCTCAGTAAGTGGTAGTGCCTTCTTTCCCTCCTCTCCTTTTCCTCTCCATCTCCTCCTCCTCTCCTCCCAATGATGCCAAACACCATTAGTGTATCTGTAGGTAGACGTACCCTTTTAGGAAGGATTTTGTTCCCCTTCAGTAAAGATACTCAACAAAAATAATGTTAGGACAATTAAAGGAGACAACCCAGAGAATTATATGGATCTGATCATTTTTAACATCCTTTCTAAACAAGATATGTGTTTAATTGGGAAGCATTCCGTTCCCAACAGAAACACACATAAAGCAAGTTTTTTGGGAAAGAGGAAGACCTTATCACAAAGCAAAGTATTATAAAACCACAAAGTCAGGGGAATATCACAGGTTTTGTCACTTCCAATGATAAAAATTTAGAAGTGGACATGAGGTGACTCAGGTTCTTTCCGAATAGTATCTACTCTCTTAACTGAATTAAGCGGTCAATGAACTAACCAATCCATTCAACCAACATCAGATGATGATAAGGATAGTTGACTCATGCCAGCTGCTAATCTGTTCAGATGAACAATTGGTCAACCATACAGACAATTATCAATAGTTTGATTTTGCCACCA